CATACTGTAGGTATGAATAAATGGTTGTGTTTTAATGGTGTGAATTAATGTGTGTGTGTATGTGTGTGTGTGTGTGTGTGTGTGTGTGCTGGTTTAGCTATACTTGTAAACGCCCAATAGTTCTCACTAACATAGCTCGATTTTTAATCAAAACAACCCACTAATGAGGACATTTCACTAATTAAAAGTGCTTATAAGTCATGTTGTATTAGTGTTTAATGACGTGCAGTTGTGTCTGTGAGGGTTGGATTAGGGGTAGAGTACAGTTTAGGCTACAGACAGCACTGATAACCCGATATAAAAACAATGGCGGTGTATGTAATATCCACTCTAAGATCGTGAAACAAACATGTGTGTGTGTGTGTGTGTGTGTGTGTGTGTGTGTGTGTGTGTACGTACCTCTGTCATTCAGGCTGGAGCTGGAGTCCAGTTCTGCAGACTGAGCTCCAGTCACATCCAGTAACAGCTTACTGGAAATCCCCATGCAGAGAGACTCCTTCAGACACAACTCTACACACACACACACACACTCCAGTCAGTTACAGCAGGCAATGAATACACACTTCACACTCACATGTCCTTCGTTAAGTCTGAAGCAACTGCTTAACTTTCCAAAATAAGCTGTTAACACACTTTATAATTCATTCATTCATTTTTATTCAGCTTGGACTCTTATTTATCAGGGGTCGCCACAGCGGAAGGAACCGCCAACTATTCCAGCATATGTTTTAGACAGCTGATGCCCTTTAAGCTGCAACCCAGCACTGGAAAACACCCATACCCACTCATTCACACAGTGTAATTAAACAGCCTTTTAGTGTTGTCTTAATTATACATAAATAACTGGGTCAATAACTGCACAGTATTTGTATTTAAGAGCTCATTAATTAGGCAGGACGAGCACTTACTTCATTAAGCACAACTCAGTGGTGTTTAACTAATGGCTTTTTGACAGCTAACCCTGATGCTGAATGTCCAGAATCATGTTGAACACGTTCAGCTCCCTGCTCGACAAGACGTCAGTGTTTTGGGCACACACGAAAGCAAACTACTGAATCCGGAGAGGCATCTGTACAAGTAAACTGGTGATTTAGAGACAATGATGAGCTCAGGTGAATGTGTGAAACATGTTCGGTTTATAAACATCACTGACATGTGGCAATTTCTAACCTTTAAAGTTCAGGACTGCAATATTAAACGGTCAGCTCACCCTAAACTGGGAATCTGTTCATGTTTACTCAAGTCGTCTCTGTTTCGACAATGTTTGTATGTCTCAGTGTGTCTATGGAGGATGAGGGAGCTCTCTATTTCAGCTCAAATATCTAAACTTGTGTTCTGAAGACGAACGAAGGTCTCTGGGTTTGTGATTGACATGAGGGTGAGTAATTATAGTTGGCATGAAGCATTAGTTAAGATTGTGACATACAATACATCCCACTGAAGCAGTCCTGATTTGAGACACAAATGTATGGGTGTTGCTAACAAAATGGAAGAAGACTGAGGATTGGATGAAAGCAGGGCAGAAACAAGACCTGCACCTGCACTGGACTTATAGCCTTGTAAGTGTACATGACTGAAGCTCCACCTTAAAGGACGGATAGTTCCACCTTAAATGACTGATAACTCTGCCTTATATAACTGATAGCTCCGCCCTAAAGGACATATAGCTCCGACCAAAATGACTGATAGCGCCACCTTAAATGACTGATAGCTCTGCCCTAAAGGACTGAAAGCTCCACCTTAAATAACTGTTAGCTCCACCTTAAATTACCAATAGCTCTGCCCAAAATGACTGATAGCGCCACCTTAAATAATTTATAGCACCACCTTAAATCACTGATAGCTCCACCTCAAAGGTCTGAAAGCTCCGGCTTAAATGACTGTTAGCTCCGCCTTAAATTACTAATAGCTCCGCCCAAAATGACAGATAGCAGCACCTTAAATGACTGATAGCTCCGTCTTAATATACTAATAGTTACGCCTTAAATCACTGATAGCTCTGCCTTGAATGACTGATTGTGTGTGTGAGTGTGTGTGTGTGTGTGTGTGTGTGCTGACCGGTGTTGTGCATGGCGTGTGTCCACAGCAGCTGGGCGATGTCGTGTGTCCAGCTCTCTCTGTCCTGATGGCTGGCAGTCTGCAGGGTCAGACAGTCCCGGGTTCGAGACGCCTGTCGAACCCAAACCTCGAATCTCAGGCCGTCCTCACCGACACTCTGAGTGAGACCCATTTCACCTGTCTGCGAAAACACAACCCATGAATGTGTGTGTGTGTGTGTGTGTGAGGTTATTACAGTTTAACATTTTTTAAAAGGCTCTTTTCGCCCTAAATAACTGATAGCTCCTCCTTAAAAGACTGATAGCTCCGCCTTAAATGTCTGGTAACTCCACCCTAAATAACTGAAAGCTCCACCTTAAATGTCTGATAGCTCCACCCTAAATGACTGATAGCTCCACCCTAAATGACTGATAACACCACCCTAAATGACTGATAGCTCCACCCTAAATAACTGATAGCTCCACCCTAAATGACTGATAACATCACCCTAAATGACTGATAGCTCCATCCTAAATAACTGATAACACCACCCTAAATGACTGATAACTCCACCCCAAATGACTGATAACTCCACTCTAAATGTCTGGTAACTCCACCCTAAATAACTGAAAGCTCCACCTTAAATGTCTGATAGCTCCACCCTAAATTACTGATAGCTCCACCCTAAATGACTGATAGCTCCACTCTAAATGACTGATAACACCACCCTAAATGACTGTTAGCTCCACTCTAAATGACTGATGACTCCACCCTAAATGACTGATAGCTCCACCCTAAATAACTGATAGCTCCACCCTAAATGACTGATAACATCACCCTAAATGACTGATAGCTACACCCTAAATAACTGATAACACCACCCTAAATGACTGATAACTCCACCCCAAATGACTGATAACACCACCCTAAATGACTGATAGCTCCACCCTGAATGACTGATAACTCCACCCTAAATAACTGATAGCTCCACTCTAAATGACTGATAACTCCACCCTAAACGACTGATAACACCACCCTAAATGACTGATAACTCCACCCTAAATGACTGATAGCTCCACCCTAAATGACTGATAACTCCACCCTAAACGACTGATAACACCACCCTAAATGACTGATAGCTCCACCCTAAATGACTGATAGCTCCACCCTAAACGACTGATAGCTCCACCCTAAATGACTGATGACTCCACCCTAAATGACTGATAACAGCACCCTAAATGACTGATAGCTCCACCCTAAATGACTGATAACTCCACCCTAAATGACTGATAGCTCCACCCTAAATGACTGATAACTCCACCCTAAATGACTGAGAGCTCCACCCCAAATGACTGATAGCTCCCCCCTAAATGACAGACAACTACACTCTAAATGACTGATAACTCCACCCTAAATGACTGATAGCTCTGCCCTAAATGACTGATAACTCCACCCTAAATGACTGATAGCTCCGCCCTAAATGACTAATAGCTCCACCCCAAATGACTGATAGCTCCCCCCTAAATGACAGACAACTACACCCTAAATGACTGATAACTCCACTCTAAATGACTGAAAACACCACCCTAAATGACTGATAACTCCACCCTAAACGACTGATAGCTCCACCCTAAATGACTGATAACTCCACCCTAAACGACTGATAGCTCCACCCTAAATGACTGATAACTCCACCCTAAATGACTGATAGCTCCACCCTAAACGACTGATAGCTCCACCCTAAATGACTGATAACTCCACCCTAAATGACTGATAATTCCACCCTAAACGACTGATAGCTCCACCCTAAATGACTAATAGCTCCACTCTAAATGAATGAAAACACCCTAAATGACTGATAACTCCACCCTAAATGACTGATAACTCCACCCTAAATGACTGATAGCTCCACCCTAAATGACTGACAACTCCACCCTAAACAACTGATTGCTCCACCCTAAATGACTGATAACTCCACCCTAAACGACTGATAGCTCCACCCTAAATGAGTAATAGCTCCACCCTAAATGAATGATAGCTCCACCCTAAAAGGCTTATAACTCCACCCTAAATGACTAATAGATCCGCCCTAAATATCTGATAGCATGACCCTAAAAGACTGATAGTGTGTTTGTGTGTGTGTGTGTGTATGTATTTGTGCATGTGTGTTTGTCTATGTGTGTGTGTGTGTGTGTGTGTGTGTACCTTAATGCTGTGTTTGAAGCTATACACACTGTTTCCCGGGTTTGGTGTCTTGTGTTTGGTGAAGATCATGAAGTTCTGATACAGGAAAACATTCCTGACGCCCGTTTTCTTGCGTCGTCCTCCACCACACACACACAGCTCACCCTGACGCACCAGATCTCCACGCTCGGCCACTGGGATCTGACACACATGCGCACACACACACACACACACACACATAGACATAAATATGTCAATTAAAATGGACAGAATGTGTGGCCAACACAGTGAACATTTCAATTTCCTTTGCTTTAGTCCCTATCAGGGAACGCCACAGTGGAATGAACCGTCAACAATTCCAGCATATGTTCTACACAGTGAATGCCCTTTTAGCTGCAACCCAGTACTGGGAAATACCCATACACTACAGTCAATTCAGTTCATCAATTCTTCCTATAGCGCATGTGACCCAGCCGGGACTTAAACCAGCAACCTTCTTGCTCTGAGGCCACAGTGCTGACCACTGAGCCACCCCTATATATATATATATAAACAAAAGAAGAAAGAGTTCAATAAATGCACTTTAATTCCCTGCAGATTAAAACTCCTGAAATGAGAACTCAGTGTTTTGAAAGGGTCATGAAAACACATATTTAGAGCTGTTAGCAGATATGAGCGTGTGGCGCATTAATAAAAGAGTGCTATCACACTGTTATTTGTGCTTTAGCATTAATATATTTGGCAGACGCGTTCATCAGAATGCAGCAGTACATGTGTTGGAGATCAGAGCGTTTCTGGCAGCATCTCAGTAACTGCACCATTACTGGAGTTATAATATTAGATAACCTTAACATATTGATAATGACAGTGTGGGTGAGTTACTGAATATGTGAATAATTCATCACTAATTACATCATTATGGCTGTGTTTAAATATCTTTTCTAATTGCTTTGTATTAAATATATACTCCACATAAATCCCAATGACGATAGAAAATTACAATAATAATAAAATTATAATTATTAAAATAATTAAAATTTTTATAATAATTTCAATGCAAAGACAATAAAAAATTATAATAATGACATGAATTATAATTATTAATATTTTTTTAATTTATAAAAATCTTAACACATAGACAATAACAATTTATAATAATTATAATTATTATTATTAAAATTATTATTTATAATAAACTCAATGCACGGACGATAGAAAATGTATAATAATGATATGAATTATAATTATTATTTTATACCTTATCATTATTAATAATTAATAATAATCACACTGCATAGACAATAAAAATTATAATAATCAATATTATTATTGTCATTAATAATAAACTCAATGCATAGATGATATAAATGTATAATAATTGTAAATATTATTATTATAATTATTATTAATATTTATAATAATTCTAATGCAAAGACAATAGAAATTTATAATAATGATATTAATTATAACTATTTTTTTATTATTTATAATAATCGTAATGCATAGACAACAAAAACGTATAACTATAATTATCATTATTAATAATATTATTTATAATAATCCAAAATGCTTAGACAATAGAAATGTATAATAACTATATGAATTATAATTATTAATTATATTTTATCATTGTTTATAATCACACTGCATAGACAATATAAATTTATTATAATGATAAAAAAATATATAATAATCAATATTATTATTGTCATTAATAATAAACCCAACGCACAGATGATAGAAATGTATAATAGTGATAAAAATTATTATCATTAATATTATTATATATAATAATTCTAATATACAATATAAATTTATTATAAATATTTAAATTATAATGACTAAAATTATTATGAATATTTATAATAATCTCAAGGCAGAGACAATAGAAATTTACAATAATGAAATGAATTTTAATAATCTTTAAAAAAATATTTGTAATAATCACTATGCATAAACAACAAAAACGTTTAATAAATATAATTATCATTATTAATATTCTTATTTACAATAAACCCAATGCATAGACAATATAAATGTGTAATAATTCTAAAGTTATTATTATTTATAATAATATTATTACTACTATTATTATTATTATTATTATTATTAATATTTATAATAATCCCAATGCAAAGACAACAAACATTTATAACAATGATATGAATTATAACTAATAATTTTTTATAATTATTATATATTATTTTATAATTATATATAATATTTATAACTAATAATCTTAATGCATAGTCAATAGAATATATGAATTATAATTATTAATTATTTGTTATTATTATTATGAATAATTAATAATAATCACCCAGCATAAACAATACAAATTTATTATAATAATAAAAATTTCAATAATCAATATTATTATTGTCATTTATAATAAACCCAACGCACAGACAATAGAAATGTATAATAATTATAATAAATATAAATTATTATATAATTATTTTTAATAATCCCAATGCAAACAGCATACATTACAGACTGTATAGTTCATAAAGTTCATATAAACATTTGCATATCATTTAGAGATATTACTGAAATTAACATTAAAACTCACAGATATTTACACACATTTACATAATTAAAGGGATAGTTCACCCAAAAATGAACATTCTGTCATCATTCACTCAACCTTCAGCGGTCACAAACCTGATGGGTTTCTATTTATGTCGATCGCAAAAGAAGATACTTTGAAAAATGCTGGAAACCGTTGACCATTGACTTTCATAGTATTTGTTCTATGGTTACAGTTTATAGTTATTGGTTGGTAACATTCTTCAAAGTATCTTCTTTTGTGTGCGACAGAAGAAAGAAAGTCTCATTTTTATGTGTACTGTCCCTTTAAATAAAAATATTTATTAATGGGGGAAAAAATTGTGGATTTCAGCAGGTGCGGTTTCAGTGCAAGAAATAAATTTTTTAATTAAATAAATATATTAATTAATTAAATAATTATATTAAATTAATAACTAAATTTAACTTAAAATAAAAAATACATCATTGTAATATGTATAGATAATATATGATAAATAAATAATTTAAATTGAATGATTAAAAAATAATGAATAATTTATAAATACATCATCAGTTAAATGATATATGCTGTTGTTACCGGACAGCCGCTGATGAGCTCACTGGCCCTCAGGTCTTCTCCGTGCCGATGGGCGTGTTTGATGATGGAGAGGGCGGAGTCAGAGCCGGGGTTAAGTCCGGCCAGTTCCTCCAGAGCCTGTGTGTACTGCTGGAGTCGCTGAAGAGGAGCCGAAAGACACTGCGGGAATGGAGGAGCAGGAACCAGAGACGAACACAGCTTCATCTGCACACACAGAGGGAGAAACACTCAATATAACACTGCTAGGCGGTTCATTGCACTGTGGTGACCCCTGAAAAATCACCCGCTTTGAATGTTATCGCTCGATTGACTGAATAAGCATTATCAGTGGTTACCAGCTGATAGATATGGGCTGCTAGTAGGCTCAGAAGGCTGTTATCATCCATCCAAATGGTTAACCAGATATCACATAAGCCTGTGGGCAGAAGCTAACAGGAATTATTCATATAATTTCTTAAATTTCCCATTAATAGTATTTTATCAATGTCTACCCCCGACCCTAAACCCAACCCTCACAGTAATCCAAAAGCAGATCTTGATTAGGAGTCTTCTCTCTTAGTATAGCTGAATAACCATGTGGATGGATGATAACAGCCTTCTGAGCCTACCCCTACTGGCCCACATCTAATACTAGCTGATGACCACTGATAATGGCCATTCAATCCAGTGATAACATTCGAAGCTGAGGGAAAGTGAGTGAGTGATAACACTGCCACAGAAAAGCAACATGAGCACTCTGCTGCCACCCTGCGTCCACAGACAGTACTGCAGCATGAACCAACTCACAATGGTGCAGTTTCTTCTACATCCGATAATAAACTGTAAAAGTAGGTAATATTTTAGTTTAAGGACAACTTATCAGTATTAATTAGTGCCTATAATTAATTATAAAGCACAAATTCTGCATGATAAATAATATAATATCTAAACCCAACTACTTAACTATTAATAAGCAGCAAATTAGGAGTTTATGAAGGCAAAAGTCTATACCATTAATGATTTATTAATAGCTAGAAGTGTTTCTTAAAATAAAGTGTGGCCAAAAATGCTTGCAGATAATATAATATTAGCCATTGTGTGCTGTTGATGATCTTTTCATGCACTCTGGGCTGATTTTGACCACACCTTTCTCTGTTTCGGCAAATGTTTGCTGACGAACCAGATTTTTACACATACTTCAGGAAAACGCTTTGATTAATTCAATGCACTCTGGGTGAATGGACTCCCCTTTGGTTATGTTGGGGGCTGTTTTTGCCCCATTGACTTCCATTATGATCACACTTATAGATGGCAAAGCCTTGACAGCATATAATCAAGCATTCTTGCTTAATGCTGGTTTTCCCTGTTGGGAAGAGGTAAACGTTTGTCATTTGTCAACTATTAACTAAAAATTAAATATCATATTGGAGAAAGATGTAGACTCAGTTAAACCTCTGATGGCTTATTAATCAATTGACCCATCACAGCAGCTTGATTGACATGCGATAGGGCCAATCACAACGCAGATATTCTACATAGACCATTTTGAGGGGTGTAAACAAAAACAACGGTCCCAACGTACTTCCTGTTTTACATTTTTAATTTCTATAGCTTTTGAGGATCCATAAAGAGCCACATATTGATAAATAATGCTATGATGGTTATAATTGAATCGCCTCTCGTTACAGATGTGAAATAGTTTGATAACAAGCTGGAAATGTTCATGAGCCAATGACACGACCACATTGAAATGGTCTGTAGACGGATGCAATATCCCTGCGGAAGTGATACTGAAAGCATGTTAGGCAGTGAGAAGGGGGCGGGGCTTTACCAAGAGTCATTTACATAAAACTAGATTGAAGCTGAATCATTAATTAATCCTCTCTCACCTTGAAGAAATCAGCAGCCTGACTGATGATCAGAGCGTCCGTCTCCGGCCTCATGCGGATATATTGGGAATACAGAAGAAACTGATCCTTCTGTGGAGAGACAGCATTCATAATGCATCACAACACCTCACAGCTTCATTGATTTCTAGTGACACTGTAAACAATGCTTTCCTTACTCAGAGTTTTTCCAAATATCTACAAACTCTTAAATCAAGAAGCGTTTTCTGGACAAGCAAAAAATACTGTGTTGCTTTCAGAAATCATGAGTCAAAATGAAGAGAGTTTAGCTTATATGGATAATAATGTAATCAAAATAATTAATATATATATATATTATATAGCCTTTGTCTTTGTCACAATGACAACTTTTCAAGACACTAGTATTGAGTTCAGTCACTCATTCATTCTGTTTTCGGCTTAGTTCCTTTATTATGCCAGGGTCGCCACGGCAGAATGAACTGCCAACATATGCAGCATACGTTTTACGCAGTGGATGCCCTTCCAGCTGCAACCCAGTAGTGGGAAACATCCATACACACTCATTAACGCATACACTGCGGTCAATTTTTAGCATTCCCAAGTCCCCTATAGTGCATATCTTAGGACTTATGAGGAAACCGGAGCACCAGGAGGAAACCCACGCCAACACGGGGAGAACATGCAAACTGCACACAGAAATGCCAACTGACTCGGGACCGACTAGCGACCTTGCTGTGAGACAATCGTGCTACCCATTGCGCCACCCTTAGTATTGAGTTTAAATACTTAGGTTAACTAGGCTAATTATTGGATGAGAGGTGTGATCTGTAGACAATAAAAAATGGGCTAATTATAGGTCCTTAAAATGGTTTAAATAAACTAAAGACTGCTTTTATTCCAACCAAATTAAACGAAATTAGAGTTTCAGAATAATATTACCAGGAGAAAAGAAAATAATAGTTATGAAAACAATATTACAGGGACTACTGTGAAAATGTCCTTGCTCTGGTAGACATTACTTGGGAAATATGTTAAAACAATAAGATCATTCACTAAGGGGTGATTAATTTCGACTTCAACGTTTCAAATCTTTATTTAAAATGTATTTATTTAATTTAGTGCTGTCAAAATTAGTGTGTTAACGCATGCAGTTGAAATAATTAACGCGTAAAAAAAAAATGAATGCAATTAACGAACTTGATGTTTTTTACTTCCTGTTGTGGTCGACGTGTGGAAAGAAATACGGATAAGACCAAGAAAGCCCTTTTTGAAGGCAAGTTTCAGTATAAAATAATTATTGTCGCATCACCAGGCTTTCATGCAATTTCAGGTGTTTCATTTATAACTTTCGACTTCTGTTTAAATGTAATTTGATACCGCATGGCGAACAAAAAGAAAAACCTCCGCACTTCGTGACTCGGTGGTCCTTTAAGGTAATCAAACCGCTGCTTACATGGTGGACTCTTAATAAGAGTGTTATCTTAATCATATTAAAATCGGAGAATTGGTGTCTTATGTAAATGTACTCAGAAAGTGCCAGATGAAGTCGCGAGCTGTCAAAGTCAGCACATTCCTCTGCCTTTCAGCATGCGCCCTCCAATGTTTCAGTAAGTTTTTATGTGTTTCCTCCTTAAACGCAACGAAGGTGTCTGCTTCGCGTTGTTGTGTCAGAATCCTTGACAAATACAGCCATACTTTAGAACGCTTAGTTTAAGCAAATTAAGCAAATCCTGCGGGCGTCATGTGTGTGTGTCTGTCTGTGTGTGTCTTTCAGGCCCGTGCACAGACCCTTACAGGAGCAGGTGCTGCAACATGATCGCAAAGTGATGAGCAAGTACCTACTGAGAGGGGCACCTAAGCCAATGAGGGCAGAGGGACAGAGGGGCAGTGGCTCTAGCCACTGGTCCACCCCCCCCTGTGCACGGCCCTGGTCTGTGTGTCTGTGCGTCACGCAAAATTGTTTCAACTTTATCATTCATGTTCTCAACTCACAGCAATACAACTTTACAATGAGTGCAACTGTTTGTATTCAATACTTTATTATTATTATGATTATAATTATAATTTTTCATTTTCCATATCTGCAATGTCTGTATTTTGGCATTTTTTTTGCAGTCCATTTAGAATCCAACATGGAAATCAATGTTTTCTTTATTGGCATTGATTGTTTTAAAATGAAAATGTCATTAACATGCCTGTTTTAATTTCTGTAATAAATATGGCTGTCAAGCCAGGATCTTGATGGTTTATTGTGGGTTTGTTGTTTAGGTAACACTTTACAATAAGGTTCATTAGTTAATGCATTTACTAAATTGAACTAATCATGAACAACACATGTACAGCATTTATTAATCATAATTCAACATTTACTAATGCATTATTAACATTCAAGTCCATGCTTGTTGACATTAGTGAATGCACCATGAGTTAACATGAACTAACAATGAACTACTGTATTTTCATTAACTAACTTTAGCCAACATGAACAAATACAGTAGTAAATGTGTTGTTCATTGTTTGTTCATGTAAGTAAATGCATTATTTAACATTAACTAATGAACCTTATTGTATAGTGTGACCATTGTTTACATGAATTACACAAATAAATTCTAATAAACAATTATATTTCAAATTTAAATAGTTTTTTTCTTGCGTTTACGTTCATTTCACATTTGAATAGCCAAAATTACAAGTTTCAGTCTTTAAATGTGATTAATCAAATTAATTAAACAAAAAAAAAAGTGTAATTAATTAGTTATTTTTTTAATCAAGCATTAATTTAATTACAAAATTTTAAATGTGAAAATACTGTGCTCTCAATACACACTTTATACCCTAAAGTCAATGCATTATTTTACATCACATCACAAAGTGTGGAGTTGAGACTAAAGGTTTAGGGTGTGATTTGGGACAGGGTTTAACCCTTGTGTGCTGTTGGGTCATTTTCATCAACTCTGGGCTGATTTTGAGTCTTCATTTGGCCACAACTTTCTCTGTGTTTCGGCTAATGTGAGGATTTTTGCTGACAAATCTGATTTGCACACATATTTTGAGAAAACTATTGAAAAAAAAAAAAACTCAACATTACACTCTTGATAAATTGACGCCCCTTTGCTTATGTTGGTGCTGTTTTCACCCCATTGACTTCCATTATAATGACTTTATTGACTGCAAAGACATGATAGCATGTACTCATGCATTCTTGATTGTTGCTGGTTTTCCCTGTCGGGAAGAGGAACAATGAGCCAGCCATTTGCAGTTGCTTATAATGAAAGCCAATGGGTCAAAAACAGCCCCCAACATAAGCAAAGGGGAGTCAATCTAAAGAGTTAAGATCATGAGGTGCTACTCACATATTTGGTGAAGCAGTCGGTCTGCTGCAGTGTCTGCGAGAGAGCGCCCTCCATGGCCGGCAGGAGTAACTGCGAGTGGAAAGCAGAAAGGCTTTTCCAGTTACAGAATAGCGACTCTGCTTTTCCTCTCAGAGCGGACGGGACGTCAGGAGACTCCAGCAGGGGCAGGTAGTTTTCCTCCACACCTTTAAGAACAGCCACGTACTGCCTCTCTGTGCTGACCAGCCGACACCACTGCAGATACAGCTTACTGCGGCGGACACAGATATGGAGAGATGATGAGATGTGCTCCTGAACTCAAAACATGCGCAAGAAGAGTTTGTGGTAACCCCTTAAAATAATGATCTATTAGTTAATGTTAGTGTATTTACTATTTATTTCTGTGTTTATTCATCTTTATTAAAGTTAGCTAATATTATTTAGGTTAAATAACGTTAGTTCATATTAACTCATGCAACTTTGGATTTTCATAATGCATCAGTTAATATTAAAGAATGATTATTAAATGCTGCACAAGATGACATATATCAGGGCTATTCAATTGGCGGCCCACGGGTCGAACCCGGCCCCCGAGGCAATTTGTTCTGGCCCTCCAAATAGTGTGACCAAGACATAAAAATAAATTTAGTTCAGTCGAAAAACGGCCGCTATAGCTATGAAGTGACGTGCGTCTGTTCAATTCAGTATGAGCTGCAGAGGCGCAGAGCGCAAGTCACCATAAGCAAGGAGTGCGGACAGCACATTTGGATATGTTTTGTAGAAAATGACTTTTGTACACTGCACTGTAATCATTAATAGGGATGCAACGATTAGCTGATTTCACTATTACCTGCACTTTAATTCGTCACAGTTAATTAATCGTAAAGGCTTCTCTAAGCCGCATTTCTGTTGCACGGAAAAGGAATGACAAGTTGCCAACTGTGCGCTAGTTTAAAGTTCCAAGTATGTACACCGAGGCTAATACGGACATCGGATTAACTATAGCAGCGGCCGTTCCCATATCACGTCTTTTCTGCTTGCAAGTTTGTTATTTCTAATGTAAGAATGACAATATGCATGTACAAGCGGAGTAACGTGCTTGCCTCTGTCCGGGCGCACGCAGTAGAAAACATCTCACAGAGAGAGCTGTGCGTGACTTTCAGTGCAATGTAAACAAAATATATGTTAGACGAGTTATTATTAAAATGATTATATACGCATGAACACAGATGATAACAACAGTTAATCTAAATAGCTACTTCCCTAATATAAAGCTTGTTGTTCTAAATTACATTAAACGTGATCACCGTGAAACCAGCATTATTCTTTAGACTATATCGTACAACCAAAATCTATAATGCTGCATCACTTATTGTTCTGCTGTTCAAAACATCACATATGAATGTGTCTGAATGTAGAAGAAGCCTACTCAAGCAATGCACTGCTTTTGTTGTGCAAAATACAACGGATGTTTGTAAACAAAAAAATTGGACAATGTAGTTGTTTTAAAATACAATATATTGACATTTTAATGTAGAAAAAGCTAACGTGGGTTTCTTTATGAGCACAAATACAGCATATGGGCTTAAGTCATTACTCATACAGCTAGTCATATCTCTCCGGCCCTTCGTTTGGGATGCTTTTCATAAACCGGCCCCCATGCCAAACTAATTGAATAGCCCTGCCATATATTAATAATATTAATCTATTCATAGTACATACATCGACTAGCATTACCCAATGGACCGTTATTTTAAAGTGTTGCTGAATTTGTTTCATGAAAACGTTGATTTTAGAGTGATTTATTTGTTTTAGACTTTTCAATTGTGGGTGTGGCTTATTGTGGGGGTGGATAAATGGGTGTGGTCAATTGTAAACACCCATTCCACTGAGTGGCTAATATTATGCACTTTAAAGGGACTGAACAGGGAGTAAAGTATAAGTGAGTGCTGATCTTCTGTGGAGGCGGGGCTTAGCCTCACTATTACATCATAGAGACGAACAATCCAGAAGCTGTTGTTTTTGACAAATTTCCTTCATTATAAGCCATTTTTAAAGGAACGATGAAGTTTTGAGTACTGAAACGTGCAGGATGTTTTTATTGTCCTATGACCACCCATGTGCCAAAAGATCAAGGGAGTTTTAATTTCTCATTTCATGACCCCTTTAAAAACTTGGGTACCATGCTTTCCATGTGTTACAGAAACCCTCTACTGTAGCTTGTTGTGTCAGGGGTAAGTTTGGATATTTAAAAATTAGCTAAACAAACAGTATTTCAATGTTTTTACTCAATAATGTCTTGTAGTGTCTTGTGTTTTGCGGGTTCTTAGTGGATTGGGTTGCAGAGATATTACTGGGACTGTTATGATCTAGGCGGTTCCCAAGGTTGTTGCTAACGAGAGGATATTAGGATAGTATGATATGACTGCCTTAAGATGGATGCTCATTTGATCTTAGTGGAACCCACAGCAATGATATAAGCTAGTTGTGGTGTTGCTTCTGTATGTGAAGCCTACCTCTGTGCAGTGACTCCAGCTCTCTCCAGTCCGGTCCCTCTCTCAGTGCGGCTCAGCAGTACGTGTTGGCGTGTGAAGCCTGTATGATCGGCCACCTCTTTACTGCTGACCTCCACCCCTCTGATCAGCACTCCTCCACCTCCTGCTTCTCCACCTGCAGCCGGATCCCTCCATCCTGGAACCGCCGCAGCCACCCCCGCAGTGAGGATCGGATCGGTCATAGCTTTACGACCCAGCCAGGACAGCGGGGACGATTGGCCGGACGTGGACTCGGTGGGTTTAGATGTGGCTCCTGCACGTCGAGGGGCTAACAGAGCCTGGAGGTCAAAGCTGGGATGCCGCTTTCGAGGGGGTTTGGGAGGGAGCGGTGCATCTGTGGGCTACAACAACACAACTGCATGTAGATTTGACTTTTGAGATTCACCTTACAGATGCAACTCGGTCTTAAAGCATGCATACTTACATTTTTCTTGGCCGGGTGCAACAGATTCTGCAGAAACTTCCCTCCTCCTGGATTCACCCCCTCTTTTTTCTTCTCCTCTCCGATCTTGAGCGTTGAGCAGTTTTGTGGTCTGAAGAGGGACGCCAGTGAACCCCAGGACTGCATGCCCCCCTCTCCTCCAGGGCACCAGTCGGGCTCAATCTCGCCTTCTAGATCCCCCAGGCTGGAGGTGCTGCTGGGAGCAGGAGTCCTCCCTCGACCCCCGAGGTCCGGTTCCTGACCTTGGGCCACCGAGGATCCTCTCTCCGCCTGGAGGATCCGGCTCTTGAACTCGGCCAGGGTTTTCTGGTAGCGCTCCAGAGTCTGAGACCAGAGATCCAGCAAAGCCCCTCCGCCCAGATCCAGAGCCAGAGCTCGAGCGTCCTGGAAGCGTGACGGAGGGATGGGAGGCAGAGAGGAAAGAGGAGAGGTAGAGGAGGATGACGGAGAGGAGGACGACACCACGTCACACCATTGAGACGCCTGTAGGGAGGAATGGACACCGAGTACTTTTACACAGACACCAGTAATCCAATTTTAATATGATTCAGGCAATACTCTGATTAAGAGTCGACCATGTAAACATCGACTTTAATCCGACTAAAGTCATAATCGAACTAAACAGAAATGGAATTAAGGGTGCTTTCACACCTGTGAATTGTTCTGTTGTTCCGAAACAGGGGATAAAATTGTTACATTGTTGCTCTTTGCAGTTCGCTTTCACACGGCAAAGTTTTTAAACGAACCACAAGAGCTAAAACAAGTCACGTGTGAGTAAACTCTCCTCACATTGGTCAGAGTTTCACGGTTTATTTAGCAGAGTCCCGCTCAGCTGTCAGGGGAGGTGGTGGTTTGGTGGTGTTTGACAAGGTGCACATAAGCGTCGCGACGTGTCTGAAGAGCGAGGAGAGATGCGGTGGGGAGGGGTGCGAAGGGTGCGCGACGTATTTGAGGACCAGGCGGAAGACGCGTGATTTCCGGGAGATTATCACTCGTTTGCGGGCGTCCGGCAGTCTCTGTGCATTTGCGGGAGACTTGGGATGTCTGTTGAATGACCTACTCATAACTCTCTATTACATATCTATAAAACACTGTGATATAACCGGGCTCGGATCGTATCGCATTCTCACAACAATCGATCCGCTCCAGAGTTAATTTCAATCGAGCCGAGACCACCTCATTCAAGCCATCTCGGAGCGATTGTTTTGGCGCGGATCCGACACGATTGTTGGTTTCACATATGCCAAACAAACCGCGCTAACTGGGCAAACGAGACAGGTTCTGAAACAAAAGTGTAGGTGTGAAAGCACCCTAAGACATGTGGAGGATGCTGATTTCTAATGTCTAATCTGCATCAGTGATCTATGCTTAGCTAAAAGCTATAAAAGACTGGGCTAAATGGATTAAACAATGGTAACTGTTTACCTTTAGGCAAGCTGTAAACTGAGCCTATTTTCAAAATAAAAGTGGAGTGTTTTTTAAGGCAGGACTGAACGATTTAAGGAAAATATCCAATTGGGATTTTTTGGACAGGTATTGCAATTGTTTATTGATATTCTGATATTGTAAACTTGTGATTAGTTTCCTCTATAACGAACATACATCCTCAATACTAACAGACTGAAACTAGCATCAAAAATTCATTCATTTTCCTTCGGCTTAGTCCCTTTACTCATCAGAGGTCACTACAGCGGAATGAACCACCAACTACTCCAGCATATGTTTTACACAGTTGATGTCTTCCCAGCTGCGACCCAGTACTGGGAAACACCCATGCACACTCATTCATTCACACACTCATACACTACGGCCAGTTTAGTTGATCAATTCCCCTACAGTGCATGTGTTTGGACTGTTGGGGAAACCGGAGCACCCGGAGGAAACTCACGCCAACACGGGGAGAACATGCAAACTCCACACAGAAATGCCAATTGACCTAGTCGAGACTCAAACCAGCAACCTTCATGCTGTAAGATGAGAGTGCTAACCACTGAGCCACCTTGGTTCTAACATAAGGTTCTTATTGGAAATGCAACCGATATTAATGTGGTCCACAAATGGCACTGTTTTTCCCTCTTGTTGATTTGTTTGTGAAACGTCCTGCTCTCTGTACTCTACAGCGGCTCTTACAGATGAATAACGTAAAGAAAGAGTATCTGTCCGCGAAATAAACACCAGTTAATGATAATAATGTCAGTGCTTTACTTCAGTGAGGGTGGACAGCAGCCGCTGAGTGTTGTCCAGTTGCGTCCAGCGGTCCGACAGACAGTGGGACATGTCTCGGACTTTCTCCCGAACAGGAGGCAGTTTTTCCAGCACAGCAGCGAGGCCAGACCAGTCCAGCTCAGACCAGCTCTCCACCTCCGCCAGCAGCACCAGCGTCTCACTGTGGAGATCCTAAAATGAATAAAGACCATCACTTAAACCTCTAAACACAAGCTAGACCATCACTTGAAGATGCTCAGGAACAGGAAACGGACATCTACACTACAAAAAATGTCCTACTTAGGGTGCTTTCACACTTGGTTCATTTGCCTGGACCGTACCCAAGTTCGATTATACCCCCTTGCCCCCTCCTCGGTTGGTTTGTGTTCACACTGTCTTTTTTCCTTCTGAACCCCGGTACGCTTGCGTCATCGAGCTGCTGTTTTGTTTACAGCCGTTGCTAGGTGACGGTTACGAAAGCAAGCGCTGAAATGCAAAGACTTCTGCACATCGCGGTCATTCTGCTTCTACTGAAGGTTTTGGTTCTGGACATACAGAAAGCGACTCGCGTTCATCTGCCGCAAACATATTATCAACATTCAGAACATCACACAGCATCTGCAGGAGCTGCTTTTGAAGGAGACAAGCACACATCACTGTTTATCACTGTGTTTGCACTAACTCAGTCCCGCGTGTCACCAAGGTACGAAACGTGACACAGACACACGAACAAACGTTATGAAAACGATAGTTTGTTGTACAGTTGGCGGTTCACTTCCGTGATTTGGTACGATTGCATTCACATCAGAAGTGAACCGTACCAGAGTTCGAATGAACCGTACCCTAGACCAGTGGTTCTCAAAGTGGGGGTCGGGACCCCTTGAGGGGTCGCGGAACAATGAAGGGGGGTCGCCTGTTGATTTCCAAAAATCTACTTATTATTATTAGGCCATAAGAATGACCATATTTTATCCATAACCAACTGAAGAGGAAAAAAACAGTCGTTTATGGTTGCTATAGTAGCTTATTTACTAGTTCTATTGGATTGCGACCCCTGTGGTAAATACATTATATTAAAGACAGCAAGCGTCAGATGCAGCAGATTGATTTTATAACACCAGGTTAAACTTTCTGGCCCATTTACAGCACTGACATACATTAAAAAAATTAAACGAAGAATAGACTTTGGTCTATTGGTGTGTGTGTGTGTGCGCCATTGCATGCAAGTTTTCTGTATTTATAACCACCTCAGAGGATATTAGGGGTCGCGAGTCACTGGCATTGTTATGTTATTTTGCGGACCAAAAGTGCTAGTGTGAAAGCACCCTTACTTAAGAGTTTTTGTCTTGTTTCTAGTCCAAATATCTAAACAGTCCTAGCATTTTCTAGACAAGTACACAATATTGTCTTGTTTAAGGAATAAAGAGTCAAAATCAAGTGTTTTTTTCCATAAATTAGGCAAAATAACCTGCCAGTGGGGGAAGTCAAATAATTTTAAGTCAAATGGAAAAACTAGATTATTTCACTCACCCCATTGGCTGATGACTTTGCTGTTAAAACCTACTTAATTTTGACTCATTATTACTTAAAACAAGACACTGTGTATATAATTGGTGGTACACTTCCAATTGAAGAAAGAAAACCCACAGCGGTTACTGATATGACTAGTCTAAATATCTACACATTTCTAAATCGAGAAGCATTTTCTACACAAGCAAAAAATATTGTGTTGTTTTCAGAAATAATGAGACAAAACTAAGTCTTATTTTTTCCCTTTAATCAAATAAAATAATCTGCCTATGGGGTAAACAAAACAATCTTGTTCTGCCGGTGCAATAGCCTAGTGGTTAGCGCGCTGAGATATGGTGCAGTAGCTCTTCAGGGCATCCTGAGTTCGAATACCGGCTCGAGAACATTTCCCGCCCCAACCCCCTCTCTCTCCCACTTCGCTTCCAGTCTGAAATACTGTCCAATCCACTTAATTAAGGCAAGAAGGGCAAAAATAAAATCTTTTAAAAAATAATAGTTAGTTAGTTGACTTATATAGCACATTTTTTACAACACAACGTTGCCCAAAGTGTTGAACACAATCAATACTGAAAATAAAATCTACATCACATACATAACAATTAAAACATAAGGCAAACCCCTCAACATTAAAAAGGCTCATATACTAAGGAACACAGATGGCATTTCAAACACTTTTTAAAAACAGATAGAGTTGGAGCATGTCTGATGTGGGGCGGAAGCCCGTTCCAGAGTTTTGGGGCAATAACAGCAAAAGCACGATCCCCCCAGCCAGCCCAGAGAGGAAAGAACTGGGGATATGTGCTCGTACTTGCGAGTCCCTGTCAGAAGTCTCGCAGCCGCATTTTGTACTAATTGCAATCTATTTATGGCATTTTCACTAATAGCCACATACAAAGAATTGCAATAGTCAAGTCTTCCCAAAATAAAAGCATGGATCACCTTCTCAAGGTCATTAAAAGAGAGAAACGACTTTACTTTTGCCACGTCGTAAATGAAAAAAAACAGGATTTAACAACTGTGTTTAGTTGTTTGTTAAATTTCAATAATAATAATAATAATAATAATAATAATAATAATAATAATAATTAAACAATAATAATAATAATAATAAATAATTATTATTAAACAATAATAATAATAATAATAATAATAATAATGATAATAATAATAATAATATTAATAATTAAACAATAATAATAATAATAATAATAGTAATAACAATAATAATAATAGTAATAATAATAATAATAATAATAATAATAATAATTAAACAATAATAATAATAATAATAATTAAACAACAATAATAATAATAATTAAACAATAATAATAATAATAATAATAAAAATAATAATGGTAATAAAAACAATAATAATAATAATAATAATAATAATAATAGTAATAGTAATAATAATAATAATAATAATAATAGTAATAGTAATAATAATAATAATAATAATAATAATAATAATAATAATAATAATAATAATAATAATCTTGTTTTCCCTTTAGACATGAGATTATTTTGCTTACCCCATTAGCAGATTATTTAGATAGTTTTACGGAAAACCCTTAAATTTGGCACATTATTTCTTAAAACAGACAATATCTATATAATATTATAATAATATATATAATATATAATATAATTGTTGGTACACTTCCAATATAAGAAAGAAAAACTCCAATGGTCACTGAAAGAACTTACAAAAAAACGATAGTTTAATACAAACTTACTCAAAATAAACTAATGAAAATCTGGTTTTGTGGAACAATTAAAGAGTACCAATAACTTTGGTCCTGTCTGCATATGAACTCATTAACGAGGGTTTATTCCTGATGGAGAAATCAAACTCACTGACCATAGCCGACTCTCTGAAGCTCCTGAACTTGTGCTGTTTGAGAGTCAGTCTGCTGAGAGACAGAGGAGGATCTTTATAATCCTTCAGCTGATCCTGGATCTGCTCCACGTCTCGCTCACACTGCGCACACACAACCAAAAACACAACACAAATTAATGTCATACAGTATGTGATAAACCATACCAAACCTGTTGATTATTTCCCCTAGGAGAAGTTCACCAAAACAATAAATGCATGTCACCCTATATAACTGATCACCATGTCATTTAATAAACTATAACATCACGAATAATATCAACATATAATTCATCCACTAAACAAAATGTGAAATGGTGTGGTTGAATTAGTGATGTTGTTAACTGAAGGTAAAATCAATTTAACATTATTTTGACTCATTTTTATTAACACAACTCAACACAATATGAACCTATTTGGAAACAACATAGAAAACAGATGATGTTACTCCTGCACCTGACTTGAACAGAAGTTGAATTAAATATAAATATCATAAAAAAAGCACAAAAATGTGACTGACATTAAAAATGGCTACAAAAATATGAGCTGATTTAAAATATAAACAGCTGCTGGTTAGTAAATAATCCTACGTACACTTCTTTATTACATAACAATTGAATTGTATGATATTATTTACACTGATTGACGAACTACAGTTCAAACTCAGCTCATTATGAATCACAGACAACAGTTCTTCCATGTCTGACTTGAACTGTTCTGCATGCATTGCTAAAATTAAAACATTTCATCTGAGTAATTCACTGCATGTCATATTCCTTATGAAAAAAGCACTTCTTAAATATAAGTACTGCTGTTTTATAGACCACATGACACACACACCGCCTATACGGTCAGCATGGTTATCCTGGAGGCTTAAAAGCACAACACAATGATTCAGTAAAGGTGATTGTGACAACAGGAATGCTCCTATTATTATAATGCACAAAGGTTTGCACATGACTGTTTGTTTCTGCGGATCAGCACTGGCTCATTGTCTGTGTCTCGAATGCTCCCTTTACACTCCGCACAGTCAACACTGCCCTGTTTAGTGTGTGTATGAGTAACTTTCAGTAAATACAGAAGTGGTCCCCAGTATTTCCAATGGAGTTTCTGCGCTCGCCTGCTGCTCCTGACAGCTTATCATCTAATGTATATGCCTGAACATCTAAATAAACGCTGTAGTTAACTAATTGTCTTTATTTACATTACAACATCGATGCTTTAAAAATAACCATATGAAATTGAAAATAGCCACATTAACTGTTCAACAGATCCTTATCGGTAGGGAAAAAACACCCACTGTGCATATGGCCCTTTGTTTATAGCTTAGTTTCTCCTATCACTAGTTATTTGTGGATCAAATCCTAATATATCCTAGATAGCAGAATTCAATCGTCTCAAATCCGGCCCACAATCCGCATGAAATGATGGCTCTAGGGCGGTCCGCTCCTGTTTGCCAGATTTAAGCCATAGCAATATCAACTATCAGCCAGAATTCAACCCAACGAACCAGAACTGACACTATTCTGGGCCACAGTCTGCTTTTATTCTGGCCCAGATCCGGCCCACACCAGACACTTACATCCGGCCCACATACTACATGGAATAATTGCTCTAGGGCGGTCCGCTCCTGTTTGTCAGATCTAAGCCATAGCAATATCACCTATCAGCCAGAATTCAACAAAAAATAAACAAGAACTGACCCTACTCTGGGCCACAGTTTGCTTTTATTCTGGCTCATATCTGGCCTACACCAGACAATTACATCTGGACCACATACAGCATGGAATTATGGGACTTGAGCAGTCCGCTCCTGTTTGTCAGATCCGGGCCACAATTAAGCCATAGCAATATCACATATCAGCCAGAATTCAACCCAATGAAAAAGGAACTGACCCTATTCTGGGCCACAGTTTGCTTTTATTCTGGCCCAGATCCGGCCCACACCAGACACTTACATCTGGCCCACATGCCGAATGGAATGATGGCACTTGGGCGGTCCGCTCCTGTTTGTCAGATCTGGGCAACAATTAAGCCAAAGCAATATCACATCAGCCAGAATTCAACCAAAAGAACCAGAACTGACCCTATTCTGGGCCACAGTTTGCTTTTTTTCTGGCCCAGATCCGGCCCACACCAGACACTTACATCCGGCCCACATACTGTATGGAATGATGAGACTTGGGCGGTCCGCACCTGTTTGTCAGATCTGGGCCACAATCAAATGAACCAGAACTGACCCTACTCAGGGCCACAGTTTGCTTTTATTCTGGCCCAGATCCGGCCCACACCAGACACTTACATCCAGCCCACATACTGTATGGAATGATGGGACTTGGGCGGTCCGCACCTGTTTGTCAGATCTGGGCCACAATTAAGCCAAAGCAATATCACATATCAGCCAGAATTCAACCCAATGAACCAGAACTGACCCTATTCTGGGCCACAGTTTGCTTTTTTTCTGGCCCAGATCCGGCCCACACTAGACACTTACATCTCCGCTCCTGTTTGCCAAATCTGGGCCACAAATTAGCTATTACTACCCATATCTGCCATGTCCAAGAGCTATGTTTGACCCCTATAATTATCAGATGATCACTGTACTTGATCTTTACCAAAAGTGACCTATTATGTTTTAGGATAACAGTACCATACTTGCCACATATTACCTCAGCTGCTTTGAGCTCACACCATCTTTAGCCAGAGATGCTTGCCATATCTCATCTGGGCCACTATATGCTTACAGCCACATTAGCCACAGCTTACTATGCTGAATATTTGCCAGAAGTGGTCCACATAAGTATTAAAATAACTGGGCCACATCTGCCATATTTTCTCTGGCCCACTTTAGGCTCAAATCCACATTAGCCAGAGCTGACTGTGCCGAATATTAGCCAAAAGTGGCCCACATATGTCTAAAGACTGGACCACATTTCCTCCTACACATGTGAGCCACTATGGGTTTAGATCCAGATCAGCCTTAAATGGCTAGGCCACATTTTTGCCTAGTGTGGCCCACATTTGTCCAACTGTGGGCCAAATTTGCCACATTAGGCTATCATTCAGATTACACTTTGCCTTAAATGGCCCATATACAAAGTTGAATCTTTGGCTTGCTTTTGCATTTGTACAGGTGGGCCACTTCAGGGTCACATTCATTTTGTCTGGGCAGAAGGAAGACCACCAGTGCCGCATATCTGCCAAAAGTGGCCCACATTTGTATGCTATCTGGCACGTCTACAGGTTCAGTTCAAACTCTGGTCCGCATAATTCCCGATTCAGATCTCGCTGCTCTCTCTTTACCTTGTCCAGTTTATCCACGAGTGCAGCCAATCTCCCGAGTGCTTCCAGGTCTCGACTCCTCTGATTGGACGAACGCACCAGTCTGTGAAGAGCATCGTCCACACTGTCATAAAGGTCAGAGGTCACCGCAAAGGCAGCCCTTCAAAACAATAACACAAAGATACAGTCATGCATGCATACTGACATTTCCTGTTTATTATATCAATTATCTGCAACATCTACCAATAGAGCATTGGTTCATACTTGCAGTCTGGTGACTTCTGCGCCAATCCTGACGTCCCATTGGCCAGACCAGCCAGCCAAGCCCCGCCCCTCTGCTGCAGCTCAGTCAGCCGTTGGTCAGTGAGGATGCCTGTCATTAACTGCCTGTGCTTGTCCACGCTCAGGGGAACAGTCTGAAAGTGGAAATAATCAGGCTCTTAAAGGGACAGTTCACTCAAAAATGAAAGTTTACTCGCTATTTACATGGATTAAAGTGGAATAAAATCTTCAGACTAATTCTTCTTTAATCAACACTTTATTTAAATATGAGACCAATTTACAGAAGAGATGTTTTCAACCACTTTAATATTGTCCTGTGTGTCTTTTATAAGCTACTGTTACACAAGTATTTCAGCATGATTTTTTTTTTAAATCTACAAAAATATAGAATATTTCATGCGTGAGTCAAAAACCTACACCCAACACCTTTAGCCTTTTCTCAAAGCCTTCTTCTATCGGTTATTTTCACAATTTATGATGGCATAACAGTCAAAAATGGGACAAATGAGATCACGTAGGGGCCAACTTCTGGACTTCATCACCATCTAAACCTCTCCTTTCTACAGGCCTGTGACAGCAGATGAAATCGAACGCTGCTTTACCTTAATACAGTCTGGTAGTGGTTCTGTTTCCATAGACTGTAGTGCATCTCCCAGCAGGGTGAGGGCGCTCTCACAGCGCTCGGTCAGCTGCTCCAGACTCTGCAGATCAGGGGGAAGAACAGGATAATCTGCTGCACATGTGGCGCAGGCCTGTGGTACTTTTTAAAACGCTTAAATGTAAGTTTATTGGTGCTTTTTATGGGTATAACTTAATGCTAAACGTAAAACAGTGTGTTGTTGTGGCAAAGATTTTAAATATGCTTAATTAAGTGCTAAGTTTACACACATGGAGAAAACCATTGCATTACTATTATTATTGTTATCATTATTTTTAGCAGTAGTAGTAGTAGTAGGAGTAATCCTATATTCCTATATGTGTAATCCTATATTTGACAGGCTTGCTAATGTTAGCTGTAGCTAGTTTCTCCAGGATGCCTCATACCAGGATGATACAATGTGCACTAAAGGGAACAAGTCACTTTATTTGTCAAGTATGTAAGGCATTCAACGTTTGTTTGATACTCTAAGTAAGCTACAACCCTAGTAGCAAAGAATTCTGGCCCAGATTTGGCATAAAGCTGGCACAGCAGGCATTCATCCGGCACTGGCATACAGCATGTGGGCCAAACATGGCCCGAGTTTGGCAGAGGTGGCACCGTCTTTAAGGCGGCACACAAGATTTGGGCCAGATGAAAAACGTAGTATTTGGCCCAGATTTAAACATTTGATAAGTGGGCCATGTGAGTTTGGCCAGTCTTGACCCACATTTAAAATACAATAAATCATTTTTGAGTAAAGAAAAAAAATTCTACCAATCAGGTCACTTTGAGAAAAAGCGTGCCCATAGTGTGCCTAAAGCGCATCACTCCATGGGTTTATCAATTTCATTGCCATCGTGACACACCAACCTATCTGGCCCAGTTCTGGCCCAGTTATGAGTTATTAACTTGGCTGAGACTTGGCCCAGATATGGTCTGTGTTTGGCCCTTGTCTGGAAGCCAGATCTGGTCCAGTCATGTACCGTAATTCACTGCGGCATGTGGGCCAAGCAAAACCTGATTGTGTGGGCCAGAGCTGGGCCAGAGAAATTTTGCTATGTGGGAAGCTTTCAGAAAAGGATATAATGCTGACCATGCAAAACAAACGCCTGTATACACGGGATGAGTTGCCAAGTCACTTCTTACCAGTCTGAAAGTGAGCCAGTCATCGTGTGAGTGGTTAAAATCTCCACCCATTTCCCTGGGCAAATGCTGCTTGTCCACAAACTGCTGAAGGATACCTGTACCTCGCACTGTATGCATCTGAGAGAGAGAGAGAGAGAGAGAGTGAGTACAAGCACTAATGAGTTTTATTACCTACTCAAATGCCTGAGCATCAGACTGAATATTAATTGTCCTGCGGGAGCTGAATGAAATCCCCTGGGGAAAAATACTACCAACACTTCTGCCGTAACTCAGTGAGTGCGTTTGTGACATAAATAACACAATAGCATGTTTGAGGTGTCTGCATTGCATTATACATCTATGATTTGGATAAACGAGACCTTTTTTTTTTTAAAAGCAAATCTAATTTCGAGATAAAATGCATTGATAATTCTATGCATTATGCTAGTTTTGCATGCTGGGAATAGATGGGATGCTAGTTGGTAGATGCTAGAAAAGGGAAAATAGCGCTAGTGAGCAAAAATGTTCCTACTACAGGGAGATGAAAAAGACTGCATTAAATGTCAAAGTAAAGGCTAACCTGGTCAAGTGAATTTCCTCAGCGCGAATGAGGTTGCACGAATGACGCGATTCTAGCAGAGCGTTTTGTGTGACTGACGCACTTAACACACGTGCATTAAGCGCGTCAGTCGCGCGAAATGTGTGTTGAGTGCGTCAGTGGCGTAAAATGCTCTACTCCAGTGGTTCTCAAACTGTGGTACGTGTACCAATAGTGGTACGCAGGCTTCCTTCTAGTGGTACGCAGAGATATCAAATGTGTCATATGTATATGCTCCATATATTCCAAAATTTATCAAAAATGATTTATATATAAATATGACATATAATAATATTTATTATATAACATGTAGCCTATACTTCTGATGTCCAGGCAACATTTCTAGGTGTTCATGAATTGGCTAATATATTTTAATACTTTACATTTCAGTATAGCACTTTTCTTTTTACTTTTTACGAACATTAATCTACCATTTTTAACTTTTTAAAAGCACTATTTAATTTTAAATGTTGACATTTTAGTTAGTTAGTTTGTTTGTTTTTTTACATATAAGCACAGTACACTACAGTGTTAACGTTCAGACTATTTATAATCTTTAAAATGGCTAACAATAATACATATTCTTAACAATAGGAATTAATCTGCCAAGTTTTAAAACTGTGCATAGCTGTAGCTGCTTTACTGGGCGTACTACGCCACTGTATTTTAATATTGCTCATTATGGTGGTACTTGGAGAGACAAATTTTTTTCTGAGGTGGTACTTGATGAAAAAAATTTGAGAACCACTGCTCTACTCTATGCCGCCTTCATTTACGTAAATTGCGTCATTCGCGCCACTTCATTCGCGCTTATCACGCTGCAGGATGTCTATTCGCGCCTTTGCATTGACTCAACATGTAAATCACTTTCGTTTGACGCTTCTTTTGCGTCGCGTCTGGTGCGAATTGCTCGAGTTAAAATATTTGAACTTCAGCGGACATTCGCGCCACGTTAACCAATCAGAAGCCTTCTCTTGTAGGGGCATGCTTATGACGAAGTGTCTGTTGTTGGTGTCCAGGGGAAAATCCTCCTGCCCACACCGACAACACTTGATCAAACTGGGCTCGGCTCAGTCGGAAGCACCGCTGAAAGCCTCCATCATCCAGGTTAGGTTTCTGAAGGAGTTTATGAACTCACAAAGCTGGGTGCACCTCATGAAGCGCTTCCGCGTCTATTGTGAAGCGGATTTAACCCGCGAATTAAGCGGATTTGACGCGCGAACGAAGTGAGTAAACTCAAAATATTCACGAGTCTATTTACGCATGAATAGTGCGATTTATCTGCGCGTACCGTGTCTGGTGTGAACTCAGCATTAGCATTGGCCATTATGCTTTTTAGGCTAATTGTTCCCCCTGGTTACCTTTGGCTATATCAAATCAGTCTTACTTACAAACAAGATGATAACGCTGGTCCACTAGTATAACACTATAGCCACTCAAACCACCATAAACTAATGCAGGACTAACTTAGAATTATGTTAATACTACAATATTCATTGCAGTTGAGCAGATTTTAAATAACTCAGCACGACTGGGCTCGATGCCAGTCCTTCTTGATAAATGGCATCTTTTTACAACTGCCCCTTTATTGCTTTTTTCCTTATAGGGAGTTTAGGTACCAGTGCCTGCTTCTTTTCCTTAAGTGACCGAGCAGAAAAGGTTATCAAAAAGCTCTTTTTGTGTTAGCCCAAATTGATTTATAAACATTAACTCTGTATTCACACATGTACCTCTATTCCCTCCAGATACGGTTGGGTCGATTCGTCTGATTCCTCAGTTAGGATAAGAACTGAGTCGAGCCCTGTTGCTGCCTGTTCCTGTTTCAGGCAAACAAACAAACAGACAATGCTAATACAAAATCAATGCAACACACCGAATGCACCGCAAACATAGCTTCAGCGCAGAGAGACTCACCTTGAAGAGCTTCAGTGCAGAAAGGCAGAGTTCAGACGGGGCAGATTTCCTGCTGTCCACTATCACAGTCAGACCTTTCTCTTTGACCATAGGTCTGTCATTTCAAAATAAGCCCAGCAGAGAACAGATATTAGCCAAGCACAGTAAAAGGTCATGAGATAGTGCCCTCCGGTCTAAAATTCAACGAAACACACAGGGGTTGACCCAGAACACAGACAAACCCTGGCCGACTCTAACTTTGGCTCACTCTGCATCAATGTTTTTCTCCCCAAAGAAACCAATGTATGTTATAATGCAGTATCAGGTGTCATTGTGGTATCTGTCATGTGGGTTGAACAGACCTGGTGATGGTGTAATAGCAGGACAACACTTTGATCATTTCATTTGTGGTCCAGCCATCCTCCGGAAGGTGACTTTCGGTGACTACCAACGCTCGCCCCAGTCGGTCCATAGTACCTATGAGAGAAATAACTTGTTAAATGGAGGAAATAATTAGCAATTATTAAAAGCAAGAACAAAAGAGCAAGTACCTGTTAAGATTAGCTTTCCCGACTGAAGAAGATTTAAATCTAAGTCTTTAAGATGAGTAGGGGGGGATGTGGACTCCACGTGAGCGGCAAACTGAGATAATCCCACCTCGTTTTGGGAATGGTCAGGGGAGGATGTGCATGATTGGCTTTCTGTAATGCATGCTGGATGTTAAACAGATTTCATCACTCAATGAGAAGCCTATGATGGGTATTAATTGTGTGGATCAGAACATACCTCCATCTTTGGCTTTTGACTTTGCATCTGTCTTATCATCAGAGGATGCTTCACAGCCTGTAGAGTTTGTGGATAGCTGAGGAGCCTCCTCTGATTGGCTAGAATGGCTGATTGGTTGGGTGGCTTTGGTTTGGTTCTTTGAGATGATTTGGTCACCTTTGCCTTTTTGCTGGACACGACCATTGGATTTGGCCTTCCCTTTACCTCCTTTGGCTTTCCTTTTCCTTCTGTAGTAAAGCAAATGTATGCTTTTTAGTTATTCAGAAGATTATACAGACAGTACTAAAACTAAAATATTACAAGCACTACTAGTATTTCATACTTGCAACTATAAATATCTACATGGCCATACCTGGGAGCTCTGAATCCACCTGTTTTTACTTCTTTTCCTCTGGGACAAACTGAGTTCTCGGACTTTCCAACCTGCTTTTCTCCTATGGCGCCCACAGTACCTGACGGTGGCAGATTTATATCCATTTTCTCCTCACCGGTAGTGTCTGAATGTTTGTTTCTCCTTTTTGCACAGTCTGATGAACCAAGTGCATTGCTTGGGGAAGAATCTTGGAGGGACCTTGTCCTCGTCCTAGACGGTTCAGCCAATTCCTTGTTAGTGTCTTCTGTTTTCCCATCAGCAGACAATGGGATAGCTCCATCATCTAAAGCATTGGACTGATTTTCAGATGTTGCAATGTCCTCTTTAATGTCTAAAGTGCTGGCCAATATTTTATCATCACAACCACAGTGTGAACTTTGACTGCGGTCCTGTTGTCCATCTCCAAGACTGTTTGCATCACTAGCATCTGTTGAACATCGCCTGCTGGAAATTTTCTTTCTTTGACACTCCTCCCAGTGCAATGTACCCCCAGTCCCATCTCTTTCTTTTCCTACCCCTGGCTTTCTCTCTTTGGCCGGATTGTCCATACAATCAGATCTACATTCCAAACCCACTGGGTCTCTAGCACCTTCATCAGCATGTAAGATTGAAGGGGAATACGACCTCCTTTGGCGACCCAAATCAATGACACGAGGCAAAGGTCGTGAGGTAGCCAAGTCACTACAGGAAACTACACCATCCTTACCATTGTTGTTGCTATCCCTTCGTACCAGACTTCCGCCCCTAGCACCAGATTCAGTCCTTCCATACCCTCTCCCCTTCCCCTTTCGTAGTCGTATTGCTTTACCCCTTCTACACAGAGGTAAAGTTTTAGTCTTACATATCCCATGCATTTCCAAGTAGCGCTGTTTGGGATCAGCACCACCATCTGGACCTCCTCTGGGCTCTAGCAGCTCTACATAATCTCCAGCACCATCAGCTACGAGGTGGCCGTCACTGCTTCTGCGCAGGCATTCTAAAGCGGCCTCAATATCTGCCTCGTTCCCATCTGGAGGCAAGTCATCCTCTTCATCCCAGGACCAGGAATCACGTTGTGCTGAAGAGCCACCCCAACCAAGGCCCAGACCCCCTGAGGACAGGTCAGTTGGGTCAGGCTTGTCTTGAAGAAGATCAGATGGATTGTGCAGGAGTTTGGGATAGACCACCTCTTCCCATGGAATTCGGACAACTCCGTCACTTGTACTCACAAGACAGGTGTCCAAACATCCTCCACCTACAAGGTAAGAAAGTTTGAGAAGAATCGAGAAAGGGAGTGCTTTGTTTCACCAAGGCGATTTCAGTGGTGGTTCAGACCCAGAGCTTAGTTTTTAAACAGCAGGAGCACTGGATGTGAACCAGATCAATTCATTCTGAACCAGATACATTCATTCTTATGTAGCACCAACACATTGCTGGGCTAGAACTACAGTTTGAACTGCTTGCATCTTTGACTGAGGTTGGGGCTTCTGTGACCAAAAAGAAGAGCTTATGTTGTATTGAGCAACAATTATGAAATATCAGTGGAACATAATGCTGAGCCCATTATCGGTCCTCATTTTTGTCTCTTCAAATTAAGATGCACCACATTAACACATTATATCACTCATAATCTTGGTCTATACACATAACAGCATGCTGCACAACCACATTATCACTCACAATCTGTCTACACAAACTACGGTGCAATGCATTAACACATGGGATTCGGTGTGTTTGGATCATGAACAATAAGTTCACCAAGTTATTAACATTAACAGCAATAAATCATTGTTGACGTCTATGTATTTGGTACTTCCACATGTGTGCTGCTGAGAAAAAAATTGATGTAAGCAATCATGTCAGACCTGGCTCCATTGTGACTCTCAAGCAGGTGGAAAAGCAGATCAGTTCTTAAAAGATTCACCAGACAAATACTCAGAACCAGCAATACCACTGGCTCCGAACGAGCACCTGATTCATGCATGTGGAATACAAGCATGAGTAGAACTCCAAAAAGCTAAAACATTCCAAAATATGTCGACCCCTAATAACACTACCACTCAATACAATTACATAGCTCCCCTTACTCCTATTTACCGAAGCCTTGGGTATTTGTCTTACCTTCTCTCTTGCAGCCACGCTCTTTGTTGATGCAGTGCAGCCACTCCGAGGTGAACACCAATGGATGCTGTGATTCTGGTACTAAGACCTCCTGTACATTTCGTCCACCAGGTGCAAGGCACTTAAGAGCAAGTCGAGGACAGCGGGTCGAGAAGGGGACCACCTGAAGGTAGAAGTCAGTACTACGCAGGAGTCTCCAGTCCAAGGTGGAGAGCTGTACTACTACCTTCTCCCCCAAACATAGTGGCCAACCAGAGTGCAAGAAGAGACAGCCTAGATACTGAGACTGAGATAAAGACAGAAAGGTTTTCTTACCAAGGTATTATTTGTAGCTTTGTTCTATTTTTTTTTCTTTTATTGGTGGCAGTTTACTAATCTTCAATAAGCATAGTCCAGACTCCAACAAGTGTCCTGAAGAGTTTACCTGCAACTCCGATTGAATACACATTAGCCACCAGCTAATTAAGGTCTTACTAGAAAGTGTGTTTGTGTAGGTGTGCTTACGCAAGTTGGAGCTAAAATATCTAGGACAGTGGCTCTCCGGAGTCGAGTGTGGACACCCCTACATTAGATTTGACTAGTATTTAGGCTAGTATTATTGTCTTTTTTGTGCTATCACAATTAAAAACTAGATATTAAAGTTTGAGGACAAACTTTATGGTGGCTTGAAAAGCCGAATCTGAAAGTTTGAAGTGGTTTTAAAGTGTAAATAGAATGTTAGTATGATTTTAGCTTGAGTTAACATATTACTAGCATGAATTAGCATGTTAGTAGCATGATTCTTACATGAATTAGCATGTTGTTAGCATGATTCTAGCATGAATTAGCATGTTACTAGCATGATTCTAGCATGAATTAGCATGTTGTAAGCGTGATTCTAGCATGAATTAGCATGTTACTAGCATGATTCTAGCATGAATTAGCATGCTACTAGGATAATTCTAGCATGAATTAGCATGTTAGTAGCATGATTCTTACATGAATTAGCATGTTGTTAGCATGATTCTAGCATGAATTAGCATGTTACTAGCATGATTCTAGCATGAATTAGCATGTTGTTTGCATACATCTAGCATAAATTAGCATGTTACTAGCATGATTCTAGCATGAATTAGCATGTTGTTAGCATGATTCTAGCATGAATTAGCATTTTACTAGGCGGTTGCTAGGGTGTTTTAAGTGGTTGCTAGGTGGTTGCTAAGGTGGTGCAAGGCAGTTGCTAAGGTGGTCTGACTATTTGCTTGGTGGTTGCTAGGGTGTTGCTAGACGGTTGCTAGGGTGTTTTGAGGGGTTGCTAGGTGGTTGCTAAGGTGGTGCTAGGCAGTTGCTAAGGTGTTCTGACTAGTTGCTAAGTGGTTACTAAGGTGTTGCAAGGTGGTCGCTAGGGTATTCTGAGTGGTTGCTAGGTGGTTGCTAAGGTGTTGCTAGGCGGTTGCTAGGGTGTTTTGAGTGGTTGCTAAGGTGTTGCTAGGTGGTTGCTAAGGTGTCCTAAGTGGTTGCTAGGTGGTTGCTAGGGTATTCTGAGTGGTTGCTAAGGCGTTGCTAGGTGGTTGCTAGGGTGTTGCTAGGCGGTTGCTAGGGTGTTCTGAGTGGTTGCTAGGTGGTTGCTAAGGTGTTGCTAGGTGGTTGCTAAGGTGTCCTGAGTGGTTGCTAGGTGGTTGCTAAGGTGTTGCTAGGCGGTTGCTAGGGTGTTCTGAGTGGTTGCTAGGTGGTTGCTAAGGTGTCCTGAGTGGTTGCTAGGTGGTTGCTAAGGTGTTGCTAGGTGGTTGCTAAGGTGTTGCTAGGCGGTTGCTAGGGTGTCCTAAGTGGTTGCTAGGTGGTTGCTAAGGTGTTGCTAGGCGGTTGCTAGGGTGTTCTGAGTGGTTGCTAAGGTGTTGCTAGGTGGTTGCTAAGGTGTCCTAAGTGGTTGCTAGATGGTTGCTAGGGTGTTCTGAGTGGTTGCTAAGGCGTTGCTAGGTGGTTGCTAGGGTGTCCTGAGTGGTTGCTAGGTGGTTGCTAAGGTGTTGCTAGGTGGTTGCTAGGGTGTCCTGAGTGGTTGCTAGGTGGTTGCTAAGGCGTTGCTAGGCAGTTGCTAGGGTGTTCTGAGTGGTTGCTAGGTGGTTGCTAAGGTGTTGCTAGGTGGTTGCTAAGGTGTCCCAAGTGGTTGCTAGGTGGTTGCTAAGGTGTTGCTAGGTGGTTGCTAAGGTATTCTGAGTGGTTGCTAAGCGGTTGCTAGGGTGTCCTGAGTGGTCGCTAGGCCCTTACTAAGGCATTACTAGGCCGTTGCTAGGTGGTTGCTAGGCGGTTGCTAGGGTAATTTGGGTGGTTGCTAGGCAGTTGCTAGGGTACCCTGGTTGGTTACTAGGCAAGCCTCACATACATGCTTGATAAAACATTTATACTTAGTAAGCATTTCTAGCAAGTTACAGTACTTGGCTAGTCAATATTAGCATGTAGCTAGTCACTGCTAGCATGTGTAGCATATAGGAAGTTTCGTTTGCTAGCATGAGTCAAACGAGCCAATCTCCAAGTCTCTACGATGTTCTGATGCTGAGATATAGCTGTTGATGAATGGTTGCTAGGGTACTCTGTTTTGTTGCTATGGGCGAGGTTACAGAGTTAACTTGAATGTGGTTGGTTGTCTTAGTCTAATGAACCAACCCCCGTGTCTCTATGACACTGCTATGCAAAGATATGCATCTTGGCCTATTTTAATGGAAGTCTATGGAATCAATTTGGGGGCGTGGCTTGTGAGCTTTATTATCATATTGAGATGCTCATTGGTTGTCTGAGTCAGATGAGCCATCCCCCAAGTCAATAGGACACTGCTATGCAAAGATATGCATGTAAGCATTTGATAGCACAGCTAATTACATTCTATAGGACAGTTGCTAGGGTGCAGTATGTGGTAGTTAGGGGTGTGGCTAGAAAGTTAAAAGGCCATCAGTGATTGGCTGCTGGCTAGACTGAGTTAAATGAGCTCAGCCATTAGTCTCTATGACAGTCTGATGCAGAGTTATGAGGTCACAAAGTTTGATCCCATGTTAAGTCAATGAGAGTCTTTTGTAATGGAAGTCTACGGGACAGTTGCTAGGGTGCAGTATGTGGTAGTTAGGGGTGTGGCTAGAAAGTTAAAAGGCCATCAGTGATTGGCTGCTGGCTAGACTGAGTTAATTGAGCTCAGCCATTAGTCTGTATGACAGTCTGATGCAGAGTTATGAGCTCACAAAGTTTGATCCCATGTTAAGTCAATGAGAGTCTTTTGAATGGAAGTCTACGGGACAGTTGCTAGGGTGCCATAAGTGGTTGCTAGGGAGTGGCTAGTAAGTCTAAAGGTCATCAGTGATTGGCTGCTGACTAGACTGAGTTGAATGAGGCCTGACTCTAGTCTGTAGGACAGTCTGATGCAGAGTTATGAGCTCACAAAGGTTGACTCAATGTTAAGTCAATGGCAGTCTTTTACAATGGAAGTCTATGGGACAGTTGCTAGGGTGCCAAAAGTGGTTGCTAGGGAGTGGCTAGTAAGTTTAAAGGTCATCAGTTATTGGCTGCTGGCTAGACTGAGTTAAATGAGCCCAGTTAGAAGTCTGTAGGAACGTCTGATGCAGAGTTATGAGGTCACAAAGTTTGACCCAATGTTAAGTCAATGGGAATTTTGGGAATTTTCCGGGTCGTTTTTCGGAAAACCGAAAGTCGGATCAGTCGGAAAAGATATAGCAACCCGAGTCAGACCAGTTTGAAGGTTTGACGAAAGTTTGAGGTATGAAGCTTGAAAGGGTTAGGAGGAGATAGACTTTAAAATTAGTCTCAGAAGAAAGAAGAAGAAGAATAATAACTAGATTCTTAAAGTTTGAGAACAAACTTTGAGGCTGGCTTGTGAAAGCCTGACGGTAATAGTTTATTTAAACAGTTTTAAAAAGTATGAAAAGATAGATAGATAGATAGATAGATAGATAGATAGATAGATAGATAGATGGATAGATGGATAGATAGATAGATAGATAGATAGATAGATAGATAGATAGATGTTGTTAGCATGATTCTAGCATGAATTAGCATAATGTTAGCACGATTCTAGCATGAATTAGCATGTTGTTAGCATGATTCTAGCATGAATTAGCATGTTGTTAGCATGATTCTAGCATGATTTAGCATGTTATTAGCATGATTCTAGCATGATTTAGCATGTTATTAGCACGATTCTAGCATGAATTAGCATGTTACTAGCATGATTCTAGCATGAATTAGCATGTTACTAGAATGATTCTAGCATGAATTAGCATGTTACTAGCATGATTCTAGTATGAATTAGCATGTTACTAGCACGATTCTAGCATGAATTAGCATGTTACTAGCATGATTCTAGCATGAATTAGCATGTACCTAGCTTGATTTTATCAAGAATTAGCATGTTACTAGCATGATTTTAGCATGAATTAGCACGATTCTAGCATGAATTAGCATGTTGTTAGCATGATTCTAGCAAGAATTAGCATGTTACTAGCATGATTCTAGCATGAATTAGCATGTTGTTAGCATGATTCTAGCATGAATTAGTATGTTACTAGCATGATTCTAGCATGAATTAGCATGTTACTAGCATGATTCTAGCATGAATTAGCATGTTGTTAGCATGATTCTAGAATGAATTAGCATTTGACTAGCATGATTCTAGCATGAATTAGCATGTGACTAGCATGATTCTAGCTTAAATTAGCATGTTGTTAGCATGATTCTAGCATGAATTAGCATGTTCCTAGCATAATTCTAGCATGAATTAGCATGTTGTTAGCATGATTGTAACATGAATTAGCATGCTACTAGCATGATTCTAGCACGAATTAGCATGTTGTTAGCATGATTCTAACATGATTTAGCATGTAACTAGCATGATTCTAGCATGAATTAGCATGTTTCTAGCATGAATTAGCATGTGACTAGCATGATTCTAGCATGAATTAGCATGTAACTAGCATGATTCTAGCATGAATTAGCATGTTGTTAGCATGATGGATGGATAGATAGATAGATAGATAGATAGATAGATAGATAGATAGATAGATAGATAGATAGATAGATAGATAGATAGATAGATAGATAGATAGATAGATAGATAGATAGATAGATAGATAGAAGCAGTTTATAGATAGATAGATAGATAGATAGATAGATAGATAGATAGATAGTTAGAAATAGATAGATAGATAGATAGATAGATAGATAGATAGATAGATAGATAGATAGATAGATAGATAGATAGATAGATGGTGTGCGAGCATGAGTCAAACAAGCCAACCCCCGCCTCTC